AAATTTGTGAACTTAGTGAATAAAAAGAAAATTACAAATTTAGTGAATGAAAGTGTTATTACTTAGGTAAATTAGAAGACATAACGAAAGAGAGTTGGGTAGATTGGGAAGCACTAGGAGAACTTCTGCATGCCCCACAAATCAGCTAGAAGCCATAACCCACAAATCAGTTAGAAGCATTTGCAGGAGTCAGTGAGCACGTGGATAAGGGTGATCCAGCTGATATAATGCTCCTGGATTTCCAGAATGCTCTGACAACACTGTTTTGTCAAAGACTGTTAAAGAAATTAAACTCTAATGGCAGAAAAAGAAAGGTTGTCTTGTAGAAAAAGGATGGGTTGAAAGACAGAAAACAAAGGGTAGGATTAAATGGTTTGTTTCCAGAGTGAGGGTGGTAGAAGGTAGCGTCCAACAGCTCTCTGTGCTCATCAGCACTGTTCAGCCCATCTGTGACCTGTCTGCATGGACACTGGAACTGAGTAAATGTGCTGGTGATGTGCAGGCTTTGGCTGCAGAGAATTGCAGAAGGTCCTCATAAATCTCAGCTGATGGTCACCAAAGTAGTAGACAAAATCCAGTGCTAAGAAGTAGAGTTGTACATTAGTTGGAGTGGAACCTGATCTAGATATGCAAAACTATTTGTCATTACTCAGGAAAGAGAGGAGGGCCATGAAAATGGTCAGAGAGCTGGAACACCTCTTCTATGAAGAAAGACTGAAAGAGTTGGGGTTTAGCCTGGAGAAGAGAAGGCTCCAGGGAGACCTTATTACATCATTTCAGTGTATAAAGAAGGCTTATAGGAAAGATGAAGAAAGACTTTTTACCAAGGCTGGTAGTGACAGGACAAGCGGCAACCATTTTAAAGTGAAAGATTTGACGCAAGGAAGACATTTTTTATAACCATGGTGGTGAAATGCTGGAACAGGTTGCCAAGAGAGGTTGTGGATACCCCATCACTGGAAGTGTTCAAGGTCAGGTTGGACAGGGCTTTGAGCAGCCTGATCTAGTGATAGATGTCCCTGTCCATTGCGGGGGGCTGGTCCAGATTATCTTTAAAGGTTCCTTCCAACCCAAACCATTCTGTGATTCCATGATTTTTGAGCCACTGAACTCAGTGTGCAGGAATGGTCCTGAGACCGACATCCTAAAGTCTAAAAGGAAGGCAGGACTTATTAAGGTGGGAATTGAGAACAAGGCAGAAAACATTGCTACACCACAGTAATTCCTGGTGTGTCCATGTCTTGAATATTGTGGTCTGGCCACCTATGTTTCCAAGGGGATGTAGAATCGTAGAATCATAAAATCATAGAATCCTAGAATCTTAGGTTGGAAGGGACCTCAAGGATCATCTAGTCCGAGCTTTCTAGGTAAGAGCACAGTCTAGACAAGATGGCCCAGCACCTTGTCCAGCTGAGTCTTAAAAGTGTCCAATGTGGCGGAGTCAACCGCTTCCCTGGGGAGATTATTCCAATGGTTGACTGTTCTCATGGTTTAAAATTTCCCTCTCGTGGCCAATCAGAATCTCCCCAAGAGCAACTTGTGTCCATTCCCCCTCGTCCTCTCCATGTGACTCCTTGTAAAAAGGAAGTCCCCTTCTTCCTTGTAGCTACCCCTTAGGTACTGGTACGTGGCGATGAGATCCTCTCTGAGCCTTCTTTTCTCAAAGCTGAACAAACCCAGTTCTTTCAGCCTTTCCTCACATGTCAGGCTTCCCAGTCCTTGGATCACCTTGGTGGCCCTTCTCTGGACCCCCTCCAGCCTGTCCACTTTTTTTTTGTATATCGGGGACCAGAACTGTTCACAGTATTCCAGGTGTGGCCTGACAAGCGCTAAGTAGAGTGGAATAATGACTCATTTATCTCACTATGAAAGACTCAGAGAAGGGGACAAAGATGACCTGGGCATGGAATACTGCCACAAAACCAGAGCCTAAATAGATTGGGACTGAGCCTGGTAAAACAATCATTGAAGGAGCCTATGCGGGAGGATGGAGTAAAGATTTTGACAGTGAGGGAGCAATCGAGGGTCTCTGATCAGCAGGTTCCCCCTCTTCCCCTGGTAAAACGAGCCTGTACAGAGGGGAACATGATGTCTTCCATTTCTTTCTCTTGCTTTTCACCCTCTGTCTCATACATGATGAAAATTCACAGGGCGCCAGCTCAGCTGCAAACTGCAGGAGCGAGGGGATGCCAAAGGCTATCTAACTTAGGCTGGAGGGCAAAACCTTGAGAAACTCCCACCTCTCCAAACTTGTCAGTGAGATGGCAGCCACACCATGCACTGCGGATAGTGCGCGGTGCCCGACACCAGCTCTGCTGGTGCCAGCTATAGCTGTGTGAAAATGCAAAGAGTTTAATAATTTATAGTCCTGACACTCTAAGTAGCACTGAGAGCCTGGAGACTGGTAAATGATACATAGAGCACCTCTTTGTTCAGAAACCATTTCCTATTAGTAAGTGACGTTCAGAAACCATTTCCTATCTATTCTGAGTTGGATCGCGGCACATCAGGAGGACAGGGTCAATAACTGACTGACAGCAAGATGCGTGGCTGATCTGGGATCTATCAAGGTTTCTTATAATACTGGCATTTTTTCTTTATTCTATTGGCATAGCAATATGCCATGGTGCAAACTCAGTTCAGCCTGGCAGTAACTAGCTCAGCAGCTTCTTTATAGCTTGCTGTGTGTTTGCTTCCCTGTCTGTCCTCTGGAGCACATCACATTTGCCAGAGCTCATTCACGACATGGTTGCCAGGCTGGGAACTGACCCATTTTCCTTCAGCTCATCTCCCCACGTCCCTTGCTTCCACAGGACTAGCAAACCAGCTCAGCACCGCCTCATTCCTGCACACCTCGGTGTGCTTGCCTGCATTCATTTATATCTGTTTAACCTACACACTGTTTTGATGACAGGTGATGTGTGAATGAGATGGAGTTTACCCCATCAGCCCGCCTATTTTCCTAACAGCCACCATTCCCTTACATGTGTCTTTATCCAGCTGCAGTAAAGTAGGACTCTGTCCTCTTCACTCATGCCACACTTGAGCGCTTTCCAATAAAATAAGGAGCTGTATTTTTCAGTTCTGCAAACAGGGACCATGTTGCTATCACTTGCCATAGTAACAACAAATAACATCTGTGTCTCATCTGATCAGGTTAAAAGAAAATTCTCTAGAGAGCAGAAGAGGTATTTTTATGGTGTGTAAGTTGTTATCAGTTATTACTGCAAAGAATAGTCCTAACTTTTGAAATTAAATGTTAAGGTATCAAAGAACTAGCCCCTCCTGCTAGAGGACATAAACCATATTCTAACTAATAGTTCTTAAATATTTTTTTTTTCTGTATTCATTTTAATAGCGAGCCACTGTCTGAGGAAAGATGCTGAGCAGCGTGGACCACTGGTTTGCCCCTGGAATGGTCATTCTGATCATTCTGTGAATTTATTAGTGTTTAAAAAGCAAAGCACAGTAATTTCACACTAAGCACAGGCACCACAAACAAATGCAGGCAAACACAGTGAGTACAAATGGAATGATTGACTTTTTTGTTATATGGAGAATGCACCAAAAATGCTTGCACTTAGCAGTGTCCAAGATTGGACAGATTAAGTAATATGTTTTCTTCTAGATTGATGAAAAAAGTGACTGTAGAGCTATAAGGTATGACTCATCTCATCTAAATGAAGACATCTACATCTGAGTTACTCAAGGTTTGCTCTACAGTTGAGAGCTAGGTATTTTTAGGGTGGAGGTCACCTGGCCTCTGCTAGACATCTACCTCTCATCAGCTGAACGCACCCCAGAGCCACACATGATGCTGTTGAACCTCGGCAGGTCTTGGAGGATGCAGATCTGTCCTCCCGTTGAGAGAGGGCTCCCACTAGTTCTTGCTGCGCTGCAGAAGATACAGCTAATTCAAGCCATAAATATCCTATACTGCTTTTTCTCGGACTCTGGGCCAAGATCAAGTGGGAGGCTAGGAGGCGATTCAGAGTGGCAGGCAGGCAGCAGTGTTAGGCATCATCTCCTTTCCTTCCCCTTGGAAGAATGGTAATGGATTGCAGTTACCACTTGCAATAATTTATATTAGCCAGGGAAGTGGCTAATTACCTTTGATTTCTGGCAACACTCATCTCTTCCAGGGCAAAAGAGTGAATTTTTCCTCCCTCTGAATAAGCAAGCTGCCAATGCTCGTGGTGGTGGTGGTGGGGTGTCTACAAAACCAGATGAGCTGAAAGGGAACTGTGCTTTCAACACATTTGAGAACCATTGTCCCAGGTGTGTGAGGAAACCCCTGATGGCATCAGACACCAAGCTCTTTTCCTCTTCCCTTGCTGTGAAATGGCTGCGCGCTGAGGGTGCTGCTACCACAGGAATGGAAGGGTGGCACTCCCACACCTAGTTTCGAGCTTCTGGCTTTTGCCAGTGCAGAGATTCATCTAGGGAGTCATTCAGGGCACCTATTTTAGGCTGTGACTCTGAACTGTCCTGGTGGGAAAATTCTCTCATTTACGGTGTACAGAGAGTACCTAATGCCTCCTAAATAGGATGCATAAACACCCTACCCTACGCACCGAGAAAAGCAGAAAAGATCTGCCCGTAAGAAACATCTCTAAGCAAATAACCCTAATAAGGAGTTGGGAACAACTGACTTACATAAAACAGAGAAGTCTGGTTTTCAGGTGAGATTTTTTTTTCTTTTCAGATGTCAAAGTAATGACGGATTGTCAATATGGGAAATAAGCACATCTTTAGAACAAACCTGAACCCAGTCGTGCTATCACTGATGTGTATTCTTTCAGTGACAGTGCTGCTCAGTTCTCCTCCATTTCTCATTGTCGTTGAATTCCATTGCATAATTACTACATTACAGCACTTCTTAGACTGTGGCAAGCAAAATATTGCAGGCAGAGAATACAGTTTTAGGCTGCAATATATATGTCAAATCCTCTCAAAGGCTAGAAATCTGCAATTACATGCTGAAATATTGCCTCACTTACCGACTGATATGGTCCAAACAGCAATTATTTTTACAAAAGCCTTAGTTCTTGAGTTAAACCGGCTGTGATGGATGGGGTTTCGAATGGCAATATAGCGATCCAGTGAGATGGCACAGAGGTGCATGATGGAGGCCGTGGAGAAAAGCACGTCCAAGTAGATCCAAATGGCACAGAGCTTTGTAGGTAGAGGCCATGTGTATCCTGCACAAGAGAAAGTTGACATCAGCTAAGAATGTGACGTACATTTGTTGTGACATATACGTCTTAGTGCATATAACCTTCTAGTAGAAGCTGGTAGTAAGTGATGCCTTCAATAGAAGCTCCCTGACACTGTTTTAAGAAACCTTTTTTATTTGCTTGCAACCTTCTAACTGTAGTTTTTGGGATTAACTCTGCTTCTTTCCCAGGCTACAAGAAGAGTATGTTTTCTTCTTTTTAATTCTATTTGCACAATGCTAATGCTTGATGTTACAATTAACCATTTCTGGCAGCAAATCTATGGAAAGAGAAGCAATTTTCTCATTGTAAACCTGCAAGTTCTCAATTTTGTTTTAGGTCTTTTTATCCGCGTAATTACTGCATTATTAACACCTGCTGATATGCAAAGTCGCCTAAATTCTGTAACTGAAACTTGAGATTTAGTGGAAGCTGGAGAAAGAAATGTATTTTGTTGCATACCAGGGATATTTATCTCGCCTGTCTTCAGGTACCTACCACATACATAAATAAGGACATTCCCTGTATCAATGAATATTGATAAGTTCCTCCAGAGAGAGAAATCCAAAGCAAATGCATTAGTGTTTACCAATATCCACCCTACATCTTTGCTACAAATTAAGCCTTTCCTTCTTGTTCTTTCCACTAGCCATGAAGAATAATCAATTGCTGTCCTTTCTGGAAGCTATTGGAAGATGGCTATCGTGTCTTGCCTAGTTTTTTCTTTTTCTCTTCCAGACTAAGAAAAGCCAATTCCTTTATCTTTTGCTTACAGATGATGTTTTTCAAACTTTTGAGCTTCTTGTTTCTCTGCCCTGCAATCTATTTAATTTATCCACATCTTGCTTATCGTTCAGTGACCAAAACAGGACTTGGTACTCTTGCAAAGGCCTCCCAACTGCTAAGTGAAATGCAAGATTACTTGTCTTGCAGGGAATGTCCTTACTTACACAACCTGGAATGAAGAGTGCCTTTTGTATAAAAATATCATACCAGTGACACATGCTTAGCTTATGATCCATTTTGACAGCCAGATCTTGTTCAGCATTCCTGAAGCCTGGACAAATTTCCCCAGCAGTAGTTGGTTTGCTATCTTTTTCCTAAGTGGATTTCTTCGCATTTATCCTCACTGAATGTTATTTGTTCATTTCAGACTTTCTCTTCAGGGGTCCAGATGTTTGTTGATGAGTCTGATCCTGTCCCCCCGAGTGCTTGTAACCTCTCCCAGCCTGGTGCTTTTGGAAAGCTGTGTACGCTCATACTCTGCACACTGGCCAAGTTGTTAGGAGCAGTACTAAGCAGACTCAGGCTAAGCAAAGCCCTGCAGGACTCCCATTCAAAGGCCCTTCTAGTCCTTCAGGGAACCACTACCACAACCTTGGAGCAAGTTTTGCAGTTAGCCATGTCCTTATCTTGTGGTGATTTAATTTAGAGCATATTACTTGAGCTGCCCAGGGCAGCGCAGCATGGGGCAAATGCCAAAGCTGGTATTGTGAGAACACGCTAGTGTTTTGGGGGGTGTCTGTCTCCTTTGTGGATACAGTACAAGATTTGCAACAGCAGGAGCAAAGGGACAGGCAGGGGACCTGGGTCTGTGCCTAATTAAGATTAGTCTCAGTAAGCACTGAGGAGACTTCTTCTCCCAAGTAACAAGTGTTAGGACGAGGGGAAATGGCCTCAAGTTGCACAAGGGGAGGTTTAGGTTGGACATTAGGAAAAATTTTTTCACCGAAAGGGTTGTCAAGCATTGGAATGGACTGCCCAGGGAAGTGGTCGAGTCCCCATCCCTGGAGCTATTTAAAAGAGGACAGATGAGGTGCTTAGGGCCATGCTTTAGTGTTGGGATGTCAGGGTTAGGGTAATGGCTGGACTTGATGTTCTTAAAGGTCTTTTCCAACCTAAATGATTCTATGATTCTATTTCTTGGTACTCTTGGACTGCTGTAATATGAGCTGACTCTGGCAAGCCCTAAAGCATTTATTGGTGGATGAAAAGCTGGACATGAGCCGGCAATGTGCGCTGGCAGCCCCGAAGGCCAACCGTCCTCTGGGCTGACTTGCTCTGGTGAGACCTCACCTGGAGTACTACGTCCAGCTCTGGAGCCCTCAGCACAAGAAGGACATGAAACTGTTGGAGCAGGTCTAGAGGAGGGCTACAAAAATGATCTGAGGGCTGGAGCACCTCTCCTATGAGGACAGGCTGAGAGAGTTTGGGTTGTTCAGCCTGGAGAAGAGAAGGCTGCGGGGAGACCTGATTATGGCCTTTCAGTACCTAAAGGGGGCCTATGGGAAAGATGGGGAAAATCTTTTTAGTAGGGCCAGCTGTGACAGGACAAGGGGTAATGGTTTTAAACTAAACCAGGGTAGGTTTAGACTAGATAGCAGGAAGAAATTCTTCACAGTAAGGGTGGTGAAACACTGGAACAGGTTGCCCAGAGAGTTAGTGGAGGCCCCATGCCTGGAAACATTCAAGGCCAGGTTGGACAGGGCTGTGAGCAACCTGATCTAGTTAGCGGTGTCCCTGGGTTGGACTAGATGACCTCTAAAGGTCCCTTCCAACCCAAAACATTCTATGATTCTATGATACGTTTTATCTTGTTTTCTGGTCTTCTAATACCAATAGGGAATCTGGTCTCTGGAGTGTGTTATGTGAGGGCTGGCTTCCAGGGCCATGTCTTCCCAGCAGCATCTCTTTGTCAGGCCAGACCAGTTTATCGGGGAAAAGCGATAAGTATTTTTACACTTGACAATATGCATCTGTTCTCTTGTTTCAGAGGCTTTTGGGAACACATTTGTCATGCCCTTCCAGACCTCTTGTCCTTGCTCTAAACCTGGATGGGACATCCATCAGATAAACTACCTTGGAGACTACAGGGCCAAGAAAGAGGAAAGTACATGAGAGGAGCCAACTGTGGATGCACTAAGAGTTAGGAAGGTTATAGATAACAGCCTCCAGGTATGCCTTGGGACATTTTATGTGGCACATGGTGCAGGGCACCTTTACCTTCTGCTGTGCTCTGGCCACTGTCCAATTCACCCCTCAACATGCCCAAGGGGAAACAAAAGAAAACAAAAGAAAACAAGAGAAAACAAGAGAAAACGAGAAAACAAACCAAAACATGGCTGTAATTTAAAGATTGGGTAGACAGGGAAAGTTTTACAGGGTCCAAGATTTCATGTGATCCACGAGAGCTCATGAGGTCCAGGAGCTCATATGAGGGAGTCCCATCCAAGGGACAGGCAAGTGATACTTGTGCATCTGCACATTTTCAGGCTGAGAGGCTGAGTGGGAGAGCAGGTACCCCTAGGATGAGAAAAGATTTTCTTCCTGATGTAGCCAGATAGTAGCATCCAGGAGAGATGTTTCCTCACAAGGCCTTTCAGGTGAGGAGGCAAACAAGCCAGGCTGGCCAGGATCGCTGGGCTGCTGTTTGTTGGTAACAGGATGTACAGGAAAACTGTTCTGAGTGAAAGGCTTAAGGCTTAAGGAAGTGCTGTAAGGAAAGAGGAGAGGAGAGTCTGTAGGCACTGGCAGCTGCTGAGAAGGCCCTGTGCTCCATCCTGCCTTGTCAGAAGCATATCAGTCAAGGCCGTGTCTGGGGTCACACTTGGCTGGAGAGGAGCCCTTTGAAACGCCTGGTCCTTCCACACAGCATCTAGCAATAATCCCAACAGCTGCTCCACACCATTGCTGTTTCCCCCTGCCATGGGATTAATCTCCGAAGTGGGAGAAGCAGGCATCCAGCATCCTGTGTGGTTTTGGGTGGGAACCAGCGCTGTTGCTCAGCTCCGTGAGTTTTCTGCTCTGTGGGCATGTTTACCTTGGCAGGACTTGCTGGCTGTCTTTTTTTCCCAGCAGAGGCTGGTGCTTCTGGAGAATGGAGATGGAGAAGCCTGTTTGGCCCAAAGGGTGCAGGCTGGGGCAGGCACATGGCTGGTGCGACCGGGCACCCGAATGGGAATTACCTGTAGCGGCTGTAAAGCTCTCAAGAAGAAAATCATCTCTCTTTTGAGCAAAACAATCACAATCCCCCTTCAGGGGTCTGTGGGGCAGGTGGTGGAACACTCTCATTCCACAGCCTCAGAGGTACCCTGGCAGAGGGAGGTGGGTGCCAGCGCCCCCAGTTTGGGCTCAGGACTGTCAACATAGGTGATGTGGCTGATGCTGGCTGCATCCTGGCTTTTCTCTGGGCAGCTGAGGCCAAGCAAATGCTCCTGCGTAAGGAGAGGTTTCCCTCTGCACCATCACTGCTTGTCCTGGAGGTTGATGGTACGCCATGCCGAGATGGCTCTTCCGGTACCTGCATGTACCACCAGATGATTTTTCACCCCAAGTTACCCTGCAAAGGTCTCCCCTTCTTGACCTTGCAAGGGAAAAAGTGGGGAGAGAGGAGGCAAAGCCAGCACACCCCCTCCCCTATGGCTTGAGGTGCCCTGCTGCTCCTCTGCGCCGGCAATCACGAAGGAGGGCGACTGCTGCCTCCCCCCTGCAACGAGGGTTTCGGCTTTGCTGCGTGCAGGAAATTTCGCATCCCGACCTCTGAACCACTTCCGAGCCGCGGATTTTGGGTATCTCTTTCCTTGGCAGCGGAGCCTGGCCAGCAGGAGTCCCTGTTGCATGTCTCAGGGAATCACGCAGGATTTAAAAGGGTTTTGCTAATCTCACGCATTGGACAATTTCTGCTCCCGCGGCTCTTTTTTAACGCTGTTTCTCCCACCAAAGGTAATTGCACCACTAATACAATAGATCACAATGTTACACCATCACTGATGCCAAATGGAGTTTTCAAGTGCTACCGAGGGCAAGCTGTGTAGAAATAAAAACTGGGAAATAAACTTCCAGTTTTCTGGATGAAATCTCTCTGAATTCACAGGCTCATGCTTGGACCTTTAGTCCCAAAACAGTGAAGAAATAGAAATCTTTGCAAACAACCTCAATTTCCTCCTGACATTGTCTGGCTTCTCCTTGAACTGGAGCAATTCAGTTGTGGCATTGGAAAACTCATTTCTCAAAGTTTAGGGATTATGACAGCCTGACAATGTCGGTACCGAACACACAGGCTGCTGCTTTTTTCTACGTGAGCTGTTCTGCAAGTGACTTTGGTGAAAATGAGAAGAAATACCTGATATTAATCAACTACCAGGGTATGAACTGTGAGTCATTATTCACTTAAATCTTAAATAACTTAAGAAATCATAGCTTTGCATTTGTAAATGTAACAAATTTAGGCAGAATTAATTCCCATCCATTTTTTAGTTCCCACAATATTTATTCCAGCATTTTTTGGTAAGTAGATGTCTAAGCAGGATATTGGTGTTAAGAGAATTACTTACATTTGCATTATTTCATTCAAAAAAGTGAAGGGGTTGCCTATTTTGAATCTGAAGGTAGTCATTAGTGCTTCTGTGCATATTTGCAGAGCAAAGTAACTGGCAGGACCCTACATTCTCATTAGGAATATTGACATTTATGAGCCAGGGGAAAAAACCTGAAAGAATGGAGAGAACAAAGCATCTTCACAGGCACTTTGAGACAATTCCTCCAGCAACTGAGTAATAAACTAATGTTCTGGACTCTGTTTAAAATGCTTGTAATTAGAAATGTAAGGTAGAAAAAGATTCAAGTACTGCACCTATCCTTACATCCATTAACCAATTACATCTATTTCAACTTGTATGGAGCGATTATAATTTTTTTTGTGGTAAGAGAATGAAATAGTAACAACAAGAACAACATGTGCATGCAATGTTTAAAGCTCCTCAGTACATGCAGTAGGTTATATAGCTAATACTCACCGTACAGTATGGTTAACATTGACACGGGCATGACAAGGAAACCCAGCAGCATATCAGCTATTGCAAGTGACATTAGAAAATAGTTAGTGGCGTTCTGTAGTTTTTTCTCCAGTGATACAGCCATGATGACAAGAATATTTCCAGCAATGGTTAAAACAATCACTATCACTGTCAGCAAAGCTGGCCAGTTTTTCTGTGAAAGCTGAAGCAGGGAAGAGTAGCACGGTGGACTCATGTTACTTTCACATGAAAGATTGGTTAGGTTTTCAGAGTCCACAGTCAAGTTGAAGAGATGTGATACATTAATCTCTCCAGCTCCGTAAACATTTCTGTAGGGTCTTCTCTCATGACTTATTTGCATTAAGGTGTTTGCAGTTGGGTTCACCGAGCTCTCCTCATCACAAAGAAAATCCATTGCTAAGTCCAAAACCGGTGAGATAAAAAGTGGAAAATAGGGAATTATCACCCTTTGTCACCATCAGGCTTTATATTCCTCAGCTGGCCACGCCAGAAGTTGAAGGAGCAGAATCTTTTGTCGACTGTATTTTTGCCACTAGCATGATGTAGAAAAACATACCAGAATTACTCCGAATGCTGAAGTGTTTTGTTTTCAGTTCCATAGGAAGTCCGGCGTAGGCATACATTGAAAATCCAGCTGAAAAGCAAAACCAAACTGTAGGAGAGAGAATGTGGACTGGAGGCTTCCGAGAGCAAAAATGTTGGAGAAATAAAAGAGAAAAAACTTTTGCAACCACTAGGACTCCCCTCTGGAGCTACATCTTATTGCTATTGGTAACTGTAATCACACAATTTTAAACACAGCAGTATTAAAATAGCTTGCCATACAAAACAGCAGAGCTCTCGCTTCCCTATTAGGAAAGTTGATTAAAGATTCCATCCAGCATCTTTCTCTTGAAATAATTAGATATGCTCTTATTTATAGTTCATCTTCCATAATATGGCTGATAGTCTCTGACTTCTGTTGTATTTCAGTATCATTTTCAGCCTCATATCAGAGATTACACATTCTGCTCCATGCTGATTTTTATAGCTAATTGTACCTTTTGGCCCAGCCAAACGGAAATTAAACAACTAGATACTGTGATAAAAAAAAATACAATTTAAGGAAGACTTACTTTGTACTTCAGAGCCCACTCTCAAACAGCAATTAGGTGCGCTTTGTACCCTGATTTACCATATTCTTCATGGTGTTAAAGCCAGTTTTGTGTCCTTTTTCTTCAGCCTCCTCCAAAATGGTTGTATTTGGAATAGTTTTTTGACTTCTAAACTGCACACTTGAGTGAAGCCAGTTCCTGTGCTGCGAGGCTTGCTCTTTTCTTCTGAGAGATAGGCTGCTTGCCGACTCTTTCCTTGTGCAATTCCCCGCCCCAGGGCAAGCTATATTTAAAATAATAAGAATATCAGAGCCCTTCTCGGAGTGACACAAAAGAAAGAGCACACACACAAGAAAAAGCAGCCTGCACGGAGGAATTACTGATTTCAACAGGAATGGAATTTCTTGCTCGCTGCCTTGTTCGGTTTGTCAGACCTCCCACTATCTGGATGTCATAAACTGCAAGGTAGCAACAGCAGAGGAGGGCAGGGGAGGGCAGACCAAAGAGGGTCTTTTTGGTAAGCTAGCAGCTTTTGCAGTGGGTATTTTGGAGGTCCTCTGCTTGGGTGCTTTTTCAATGTATGCTTTCCATTTGCAGAGGGTGGCTTGCAAACACAGCTGCATGCAATTATAGTGTTTTGTAGGATGCAGGCTTAAAAGAGACAAAATCTAAGGCTCGTGGTGGTAGATACTAGTGAAAAATGTAGGTGTGAAGCTTTTTCCATTTAGAGGGGAGATTATGACACCCTTAAAAGGCGTAATAGTCAGTCCCTTTCAGTTTTACCTCCAGGTCTGTGTTGATATGTTAATCAAATTGGCAATAGATATTTATAAAAAATTGAAGTCTGATGCCATACGCATTTGCCAGGAGGTGTAACGATCAACCCCAGCAACCTGTCCCAAGGAAGTGTCCCAAATAAAGCTATGCAGTATGGCAAAATGGTATAGAGCAGAGGGGGAAACAAAAGAGCCTTCCTCTGGTTCTGCCTTGTACCTCTGCTGCCAGAACACGAATTAAGAGTAGCCAACTCTTCGATTTTCAATGTAACAGAAAACCTACTCCCAAATTCACTAAAACTTACAGCTGAGGGCATCCGCTGCTCCCCTGCCCATCCTGAAATCTATTGCAGATTTCCCTCATGTCGAGGGCAATGGGTTTATACAGGCAGGCTCAGGCAGTTTGGTGTGAGAGCTCAGAGAGGTGCGAGTGCCGCTGGGCACCAGTGGGTCCCGGCGTGGGGCACCGGTGGGTCCCAGCGCGCCCGTGGGCCCACGGGAGCTGCAGAGTCTGCTCCCATCGCTCAGCTCTACGTGCAGCACCGCTAACCCCGCTGTGGATCCCGGGGGGAGGGCTGCAAATGCATGGAGAGTTACCACAGCCCAGCTGGCATGTGCTGGTCTCTTCAGGAGTCAAAACCTTATCAAAGTGAGTCTCAGAGCACCCGCCAAGGCCCGCCTGAATCTATGAGGCACTGTTAGAGAAAGCCTTTTACAGTAAAGTTCCTTTGGGAGTGGCTGTGCTCCCAGCTGAGCCTGCACTAACAGCACGCGCAGCGGGACAGAGCAGCCAGGCAGCAGCCTCTACTGATGCCCACCTGGGAGTTGGAAATGAGTCATCCCACCAATTAAGTTTCCCAAGTCCCATAGGTGAGGCCAGAAGACTGTCAGGCAACACAAGCTAGTAAAAAAGACTGATAATGATGGGTTTAGCAAGAAATGTTTCAGCCCTGGCAGTCCTGTCGAAGAGCCAGAAGAGATCCTTTCCCTCTCTCCTTTGACACGATAACCAAATGGGTTATTGTGTTCACCACATCCTTTCCCTCTCTCCTTCGACACGATAACCAAATGGGTTATTGTGTTCACCAAGTGAACTTGGCATTGTGCTCCAGAGGGTTCGGTGGCTGTCCCCAGGAAGATGCCCTTAATGTGAGAGTGCAGATCTGCTGCAGAGGTTGTGCTCCACTTCTGTTGAACACAGCTACTGTGTAGAACAGGGTGCAAGACCCCTTGACTAGGGGGGTCTATGTATAATCCTTTGTGAGGAACCCAGGTGTCCTGTTATTTTCTTAGATGACTCCCTCCAGGTTCTAATGTCTTTTTAATGTAACAGTCATGGGTGGGATGTACTTTTTTGTAGGCAAATACCCAAACTGTGGATCAGCGGCTGTAGCTGCCAGCAAAGACCAGTTTATCAAGCAGAGCTGTGCACCTTTCTCCCACTCCAAGGATAAAATGGAGGTTTAGGACCTGGTCTTCTACTTTCCTGAATGAATATGCTAAGAAATAGGCTGTGTGTAAAAGGCTAGTGAATCCTGATTTCACATCTGCAGCTCCTGTAGGTCTGAAGCAGATGCCTAAAGGACCTTCCTGTTCCTTACAGAGTAGCTTCATCTCCCCTTCAGTGCAGTGGGTGACTGTCGCTCAGGTACTTCATCCTTCCTCCGCTCCAGTGACTCATTTAAGACTGTGGCTCTACTCTGGACATCAGGAACGTAACAGGTTTAAATGCAAACAGGCTGAAAGTTACCTTGTCTAAGACCTTTGCAGGTACAGTCATAAGCTCTTCAGATAGGCACTGCACCATTTCCTTTGGTCTAGCTTTAGACACATCACGTAAGGTCTGAGTGCCTTCTGAGCACTACTCTGTCCTCCCTGAAAACTATTTGGCATACATGAAGCTGAGACACAGGTAGATGAAGTGTCTTTTTTAGGTTTGCACATGAAACATGGATGAGTCAGAAACCACTTTCATGTAGCCCAGTATGTCAGAAACAAACCCGTGATTTTATGCTGTCTTCTAGCAAAGTATGTTGGATGCACTACTGAGCACAAGTATATTGTATTATTTCTCTCAGGGTTTTTTTTTGACTGCAACAACCCCCACCCACAGGAACCTGAAAATGGCTTCCCTTCCTTATAGTATCATTACAGGCATCAAGCAATAAAAATGTATCCAACCTTCCTGGGCTGAACCCAGTGAAAGGAGGGTACCAGGGCTTCCACGGGCGCTCTCGTCTCCTTGCAGAACTGAGTGCACTCTGCCTTGAAAGAATAGTGAGATACAACTCCTGAATGATTTGTCATGTCTAAAGCCAGCCTTGACCATTGCTTTTCCTAAAGGTGAATAGCTCTAGAAAACTGTAGGTCCCGTGGTCTTCCATTTTCAAACAAACAAGCTTGCATTCTGATAGTGGCAGAGCCTCACATGCCACGACTTGCAATCCCAGGCAGCGTGTCTGCACTAAAAACAAAGACAGCTGTCCCAGTCTATGTAAATTAAGTGAAATCTTAGCTTAAAATGGCGATAATGTGGTCTGCATTAGACATAAAGAATTCATTAGAAGCAGAGCTGGCATTGGAACAGTCTACATATTGCTTTTTAATTTCTGGAAGGCACCAATGTATCAGATACATGAAAGCCCCTCCTCTGTTCCCGAGCTCTGCTTGGAAATGTTGTAGGACTGTCTTCTTGGGCAGGGTTTTTATGCTTGGCATGGTGCACATAACTGCTTCCTAGAAGTGCTGGTTTTCAACAACTTCATCTGAAAGAGGAGAAGTAAAAACCTAGTTTACATAACTTGAACATAGTGTTCTCAGGATTATTCAGGTATTAAAAACCTCTGGTTTCTGAGTTTGCCATTGGCCTCCTGGAAGTTTTAAGTGGATTGTATAATTGGTAAATGTATAAACTGCCGAAGTTAATCGTTCATTTTGACATCTAAAAGTGAGGCAAGTGGAATGTGAATAATTTATGTTGTGGTTGAGACTACTACTGTTTGGTATCTGTTTACATTTATCAGGGGCTGCTGGAGCAGTTAATACTGTGGCGCCTTAAGACGTGAATCAGAGCCTAGTTATTGCAAACCAGAACGAATAACTAAGCAGCGCTGCTCTCTTTTCAACGCACACTCTGCATTCGAGCTCCTTCTGGATCTCTCGACCTTCTCGACCCATGCCGCTGCAGTGAGGTAAGAACAGGTTGTCATGACCCTTCCGAAATCCATGCAGGAGCAGCGTCCCTCACCCTTGCTGTCCACAGGTGATGATCCCGAGCAAGCTGGGTGTTGCAGCACCAGCGCCCATGGGCCTCAGGTCCTGATGACTGAAAAAGCTGCGGTAACTGGTGTGCTGTTGTGGGGGTCTCTGCTGTGAAACTGGCTGGCTGTATGGATTTTGTCTGGACTGCTTTTGAATAGGAACTGAATATTAGAAGTTGAGGCAGAAGGGGAAGCTGGAATAACTCAGTTTAACTGTAATTTCTGAGTGCAATGCATACTAAGCAATCTGCAACAAGCAAATATATATCATATATATTAAAAAAAAACCCCTGAAAATCTAACCTTTCATGTCTGTTCCACATGCAAATCTTAGTTTCAGTCTCTGTTCAATCCCAGGTGAAGCTATGGGTTATCTCTTAATTTTAAAAGCCTGATCTGTTGTCTCATTCATCCATGAGTTTTGGAAAGATGTGTAGTATTCCTGGTGATTAGTAGTGCGCCCTCCTTTCTAACCACGTTATCCTTTCCGGATCTGCCAGTTCCTCCACATACTTACAGTCCCAACAAGGAGGTAAATGTGAGAGATAACCTGGAGCACCTTAAGGCACATCTTTTATCTGCCTAAACCTGTGCACTGAGATCACTAATACTGCACCTGCGACCCCTTTTAGGCTGATGTGATTCCGGTGTGATCGCAGTGGAGCTCAGTGGAATTGCTGTGGCATAAATGATGTAATGATTAGTTGGCTGGAAATTAGAGTAGAAAAAATTTTTTCTTATGTGCAATTTTGACTATTTAAACACTTCTTTCCCCATATAACATTTTTTTCATAGGAGGAAAAGTTCTGAAGGACTTCAGTTTGGAAGTATCCAAACATTTTGCTTCAGTCTTGTTGATCTAAATGTAACATTTTAATATTTTTGAATTAAAAATATTTCCTTATGAGCCAGCTAACTGGCTCAGATGCAAATTGTCTTATTCCCTTATTCTCCTGGACAATTTATATCCACCATAACAGCAAGCCTGGAGGTGGTTTCAAGTTGAATTGCGTTGAAATAAAATATTCTTGTTCAGTTAAAAAATAAACTGAAACATTTGATTTGGGTCAAGCCCATGTAGTGAAGGAAATATTTTGTTTTGATTTTCCTAAAGGAAATCTGATTGCTTTGGGCAAATTTAATTTTTTTTTGCATAAAAAGTTGATTCGACGGAAGCTTAATTTCCCACTAGAGGCCACATTGCTGGGAAGTGTCC